GAAATAGGGTGAATACATCTCATTACAATGATTTACTGGTAGTCTCGAAACCCTACTTTCATACGAATATCTGTAGTCTCTGCCAGCTTTTGTCCTCTTGCATTCAATAAGCCGGGCGATAATCCGGCCATTTGGGGGGGGGTGAGAGGAACCGTAATCCAACGAAATCCGATACGATGGTCCCCCGGAACAGTTCCACAAAGCCACGACGCGTTGGCGGCTACTCAGAGGCAAAAGCGAGGGGATCTCATCAAAATAACCCAACACAAAAGCCAGCTGTGCACGTTGATACACACACATACACACACACGCACAAGCATATATATATAGAGAGACACAAGCATACACAAGAAGCAGGCCCTAATTACATGAGGCGAGACAGACGTAGGCAAAGTAGCGGCAGATACGAAGAGAAACTTGGTTTCGATGAATCTCCTGAGATGACATTGTTCAGGGGACCTTCATTTCGGATGAAAGTGCATGAAGAAGACCAGACGAGCACGGATGAATCTCGCTGTACTGCAGCCGTTTGGCTTTGATACGACATTCATGTTGACGCAGTCCACGAGACTTCCTCTCTCGTTTCGGGTGAAAACGGGCCGAGCTTTCGTCCAACAAATGATGGACATCATCCGAGCTGGGTGTCATTCTCTCGTTAACACTAAAGCAAGAACACTATCCGGCTCTCTCTTGATAGATTGAAAGAGAGAGACGGTGTTGAGCTGCCTTCAAAAAGATGGCGACTCAATTTGTCCGCTCAGTGATGGTTCTAATTTCACTCGCATTCTCCCAAAATGTTAGAGCAAGCTCTTCAAACAAACCAGACATGTCAGATTACGCAACCCCAGTCTTACCTCCCTTTGAGGGCTAAGCGTTAATGATCCTTGACTGAAAGGTTAGGATAAATGGTATCTTAACATGATTTACACGCATACAAGCTCATATCTCATTATCTCAACCGTACTTATCTACGGACCTACGCAGTCTCGGTCAAGGATTTCCTCTTGAGTTATTAGATCTTTAGGATCAGAACCTGAGATTTAACCTTTGACAAGTCTGATTTAGCAACCGTATTGCATATAGACGCAAATAAAAACACAAATATGCATTCTCATACAATCGAGCAAAAATAACAGAACGAGTATGAAAGAAAATAAACCAAACCATTTAATATCGATCTGTCTAGATTTGTTATTTTTAATCTATTGACTCGACTGAGTCCATACCGGATAGTGTTCTTGGTTTAGTATTAATGTGAGACTTACAAGAATGAAACCCAGCTCTGATGATGTCCATCGATTAATGGACGAAAGCTCAGCACGTTTTCACCCGAAACGAGGGAGGAAGTCTCGTGGACTGCGTCAACATGAATTGCGTATAAAAGACAAACGGCTAAAGTGTCCAGATTCATTTGTCCTCATCTGGTGAGGTCGAGCAACGAATCTCTTCATACACTTTCATTCGAAAGGAAGGTGCCCTAACAGAGTTGCGGCAGCTTGGGCCTCTTTGCGAATTGGCCGCGTGTTTAAGGCATTTGAGAGGCTTGCAAGAGTGTTGCGCAGTGCCAGATTTCGCGGCCAACGCGTCCGAGGGGACCGCAGCCAGTGCCATGGCCACGTGGAAGCGAGAACACTTCCGTCTCGGTCGCCATTCTTCAGTCCTGCAGACGTGAGGACCGCTCTGATTGGATGGCGCGTCGGAGATCATTCTTGGCACTGCTTGTGCTGCAGACGAGGCCAGTCGTGATTGCCTTTCGCCTCAACTTTCGCTGCACGAGTGATGGTGTGCCTGTTTGCGTCAGTGTGCGCCTGCATGTGTTCATGTACTTGAGAAAGCGAGCGAGCGAGTGTGTGTGTGTGTGTGTGTGCATGTGCAGAAAAGTGACACAGGCAGCCGGTGCGGATTGGAACGTGAGCTGAGCGTGTGACGCGATTGGCGATCGATATTCAGCCTTGGACTGAGTTGAGTGCTGGTGAGGCAATGGTTGCAAAGCCGGCGAAGCTCGACTGAGCCCAACTGGCCGTGGGCTGTCGGATGCGTCATGCAAAGTCCAAGAATGAGGTCAGGAAAGCGATACGAACGAGTGCTGCGGACGCAGGCCTGCTCGTCCCAACCTCGGCCCGGTCGGGCAATGGCAAAGCAGGTTAGTCGAGCTTGTCACGCCGAATGCGTGAGTTGTGCGGATGAGGTGATTTCTCATGCACATCCTACCGAAAGCGACGCCTCATTTCTGTTGTTCGTTAGTCCGTTTTAGCCTCAATAGGACGCTCAGGTGGAGGTAGAGAGAGAGTGAGAGATCCTGACGTCAACGAGCCCTGATCTCGTTATTCATGCCAATTGATGCAAATCGTCTCAGCTGCAACCGATTCTTGTGGCAGCCTCAAGTGAATACCGAATCACGGAGACTGTTGAAATAGTGGAAAAATGTGGATTTATCGGTTGCTTATCCTCGACAAAAGGTGATCTAATCATTTGATATTCTCGTTTAGTTAATGACGAGTAGACATATCATGTCAAATAGAGCCGAATAGCATTCTTGACGGAGAGTTTGCTGAAAGGGTGTGTTCCAGATCTGAGGATGTCGCTGAATCGGCATGACGGACGAAATGAGGGAGGATGTCTCGAGGACTGCGTAAAACTGCTGGTCGTATTTAAGCTACCTGACCGCATGGCAACTGGAATCGGGCGTCGTCTTTGGGTCAGATCAACCAATGCGCTTCGGAAAGCGACACTTCAACGCCGATCGGCCGGACGAAGGAGGACAATCGGCGTTTGCAGAAGATTGCGGGCACGACTTGATCCGGTGGCCCGGTCCCGAGGTGACGCGGTGTTGGGAGAAAAGCCGAATCCCCTTATCCTCCTTCCCCTCCCACTCCTCTTGCTCGTCTTGCTCCAACTCTTCGTTCATCTCCCGATTCCACTGCCTGCGTGACATCCACGAGAGCTACCCCCATCCGCCACGTCGTTCAACTTCCTACAGCTTCAGGCAGGTAACATACCCTTCGTCAGGAAGGTTCTTAAAATGAATGAATCCATCAACTCTTTCGCTTCCATCGAGCCCAAGTGTGGATGAACCTCGTTTTCCCCATCCTAATTTGCCTTTTTAAATCCCAATCATTTTAGCGGCTGTTTACCAACCGTATGGTTCTGTGTTAGGGGGACCTTCATTTCGTATGAAAGCATTTGATTAATAAAGAATAGATTTTTTAATGGAACCTTTACGCCTGCTTTCTATTTGTTAAGGGACCAGCGTTTCGCATGAAAGTGCATGAAGAAGAGATTCGTTGGTCGATCTGATCAGATGAGGACGGATGAATCTCGTTTATACGATCTTCCTGTTGACGCGGTCCACGGGACTTCCTCCCTCGTTTCGGGTGAAAACGTGCTGAGCTTTCGTCCATCCTTCGATGGACATC